AGGCTTAGTCTACAATAAAACTCCAGGTCATGCTTAATTTTCATGCTTTTAAAACACAGTGTTATACTTGGAATCTAGTGTTGAGTGTTACCCTGTATTTTTTTTTTCTTTCCTTTTTTGATTCTTCTCCGAATTTGCTAGGGTCAATTTAACCTCTAATTAGCTTTATTTAATTCTTATTTTGAAAGATGCATGGCATTCTATTCTGTGCTTGAGATTTTCATTTTGGAGGATGCCTTCTTGTTTTATGTATGGTTGGGTGAGTGTAACATTCTTTTTTTTTTTTTTTTTTTTGGTTTTTCTCCGGTACCGGGAACCGAACTCACGACCTTGCGCTTGCCAGGCAGGCGCTTTTGCCACTGAGCTAAATCCCCAGCCCCAAGTGTAACATTCTTGAATGACATTTGCTGTTTCTCAGAACTTTGTAGACTCTGTTTCACAGCCTAGGCACCTGCAGAAAATTCTAAGACCACTAAGTTTTTTCCACTTGTAGTTATTTTTCCCCAAAATGTTCATCTAATTCTTTTCTTATGCCTGGAATTTAAAAATTCTGCCTGGCTACAATTAATGTGCACTCATTATTAAATAATACTGGTGAAATATGGTGTGCACTGGCATCTGTGGACGCCATTATTCCTTTATTTATGGGAAATTGGCTGTAATTATTTCTGAGGAGGTAGTTTGTCATCTCCCTCTGGAAGGGTCTGTGGTTCAAAGACACCAGCTATTCCAATGTTGCCTTAATTGTGTGGCCCTTCACATCGAAGATATTTTTTATTAGTACACTTGTCACTGCAACCATTACAAACTCTTATTCTGTTAACCTTTAGCACTGCTTCTGTTCCCATGGAGCTTGTAATTGAGTGATTAGCTTTGCAGGTTTTGATCTTCTATGCATTCGTTTATCTCTATCAATTGTCTTTGCATCTCACCTTGCATCTTTTGTCATTTCAAGTTTGAGTACTTATTTTATTCATTATCTCCTTTTTTAAAAAAAATATGAATTTGTGGCAGAAGTACTTTTGCTCCTTGTGTGAAGTATTATATCTATTTTTCGAGGGACTGACTGAAGCTGGGCTCCCTCTCATATTGACCTTTAGATGTTGCTGACAAATAAAAATAAACCAACTTCTCAAATGGGTTTTGGCAAGTGTTTGCATTTACTTGAGCAAGACTGAAGTGGGAGACATATGCTCATCACCACACCTGGATTCCCCAACCAGAGTTAGCAAGCTGCTTCTCTGAGTAAGTTAGAAAGCACGCTGGCTTCCTGTTCACCGGCAATTTGAGCCATCCTTGTTCTCTCTCAGCTGCGTAGGTACTAATCCCTGGAAGGGGGACAGCAGGAACGTTGCCCCTTACGGGCTCTAGGCTGCATGCTTAATGCCAGCTCTCATATCCAAGAAGATGAAAGTCCATGCTTTGCCTTAATGTGACCGAAGCGGAGTAAGATATAAATATGAGAATAGATAAACATCAGTTTTGTGAATCTGGAATATCAAAATCTGTAATCTTTGTCATCTTTTTAGGAAGTCAACTAACCCTTTGCTGATTTTTAGTTTAAAAACAGACCTGCATTTTGGATACTCTGTCTCATATTCTGCTTTTCCATTTCAATTCACTGAACGTTATAAGAAAAGATCACCAAAATAATATCTGATAAAACTAACTTTTATTCCATGTTAAAATTGGAAAGGAAGATATTTCCTTCAAAATATTCTAAGTGATAACGTAAGGATTAAATGAAAACATCCAGAAGATAGTGGGAACATGAAGTTTGTAATTTATTGTGCTTCTAAAGCTAAAGTTGCCAATCTAGCTGAAGAAGCATGCATGCCGTCTGGGAATCCAGCTTCCGGCACAGCTTTTCTTTGCAGCCTGAGTCACAGCTTATAAATTGGAGCAGGGCTCTCTGGAGGACTCTGTTTCCATTTTTATTTCCTGCAGGAAGGAATGTTTCACCCACTGGAAACTCCTCCTCCCTCTGACTTTAACAAACTCACCAGCGAGAAAGGGCTTCTACAAAAGAGTTCTATATAATCGCAACTTAGGATTCAAATTATTTTTCTCTCAACACACACTACAGCTCAAGGCAAGTGAGTACACTAAGTAGGCAGGTAGATTAAAATGAAAACAAATTGTCATGTAAGTGGAAAAATGAAGTATGTTTGAGTAGGACACACTTGGCAAGTGACACAGAGTATATCATGATCACAATCAGATTTATAAACCTGGAGACCAGATAGAAAGCCTGGGACCAAAGGCCTGAGCTAAATACTCTCACTAGAAGTCCTGTCTTGGAGACTGTGGGTTCGGCTCCAGATGAGTGTGATAAGGCAAAGTTCACAAAAGGCCAGTCACAGGAACGGTTTCCCAGTGTATTCTATCATGAGGCAGTCTATCAAGTGTGTGATGGCGTCATGACTTAAAACCAAGGTACATAGCTTAATGAAAGCTGTTTTACCGATAAAAATGCTAATAATTATCTGAGCTATCAGGGAAATGGCACCAATAGATTTGCTTCAGGTGGACTGACCCAAACCTTCAAGTGATCAGTAGTGCAGTGTCTGAGAAGTGGAATCAAGTGAAGGGCAGAGACAGGAGACAGTGAGGAATGAAGCGATGAGGAATGTGCTATGCCTGGAGTGTGTGCTGCAGGGAGAGGGCTGGGGAGCAGCAGCCCCATCTTTAGATTATTCTAATCAGACTCCTAAAAGTAACTTTTGAGAAGTTGTACTAAGATGCAACACACATTGTCTGCTATTGTATTTCTGAACGATCTAAGTTGCTCTTTTTTGACTTGATTCTTTTCAAAGGTACTGTTTATGGTAAAGACTTTCAAGTATTTAACCACTGTGGGAGTGTTTTAAGTGGTGTTCTTTCCCCCATCCTGAATTTCATGGGTTGAACCCTGATTTCCAATACAATGCTAGTAGGAAGCAGAGCCTTTTGCAGGTCACTCATCATGAGGTTGAACGCCTCACAACAGCATCAGCGCTTTTACAAGACTAGACTCAGGACCACATCTCTGCAGGCCGACGTGAGGCTGCAAGGGGGCAGCACCTTCGAGCCCGGACAGGGCCCTCAGCAGGATACACTGGGCGTCACCTTCCTGTTGAACCACAGCCACCGGAACAGTGAGGATGAAATTTCTATCATTTAAGCCACCTGGTCTGTGGTATTCAGTTACCAGCAATGAGAAACGAGGAAGGAACCTATCAAAACGAGAGTAGGAGAGCTGCACTAGAAATCCTCAGAGCTCACACTGGGTCATTCTGGGCACAAGGGAAGCAGACGTCACAAACCCGTGCCCTGGGGTAGGGAGAGGGTGAAGACAGGACCAGGCCTCTGGCTGCTCTGCGCTGACACACCCAGGCCTGGCCAGAGTTGGCCCATCTCCTCAGCACTCCATCCCTGTACTGATCAGGACTTGAGCTCCCCTTGCCCAAGGGGATGACCCCATTCTGCATGGCATTAACCTGAGCATGTAAAATAAAAATCCCTAAGAACTGCAAAGGTCCAGCTCATTCATTCTCTGAACCTAACACATCTCAGACACCCCGTGAAACATTAAGGATGAAAATGGCAGGAAAAGAGACACGATCCCCGTCTGTAGCCAGCTTAGCAAGACAGTGCATTGGTGACTGAAACCAACAACCCTCTTGACCGCTGACCCCTCTAGACATGTGGTCAGTCCTGGCTTCTCTTCACTGCGCAGCCTCGGGCAAAGAGCTGATCCCAGCCGCTGCTACATGTGACTCTCCCCCATGCTCCTCCCCTCCTCCCACAGACAGCAGCTAAGGACAGCTGTGGCCTGCATCTGCCCACCCAGGATCACATCTGTCCTCATCTTCCTTGGCTCTCAGCAGCACTGCCCACAGCTGTCCAGATGCTAGCTGTGCAGCCTTTGCTATGTCCCTTAGGGAAACAGGGCCAGTTCTTCTTCCCCAGGCAGTGCTCAGCTTACAGGCCGTCTGCTGGCCATGGCAGACCCTGACCAGCCAAGAGCCTCGGCCTCCCTGGCACTGCCTCACCCACCACGTCTGCTCACAACCATCACTTACTGCTGCAGCAGTCTATGTCCTGGCTGGCTTGTCACCTCGCCGTTCCCTTGGAATGTGAGCCGAGGAGAGCAGGCAGTACCAGGCTGTCCAGCACTGCACACGACGCTTCCAATGAACTCAAACTGTAAATGTTAAATAAAGCTTGGGGGCTCCGGGAACAAAAATATACCAAGTGATAAATCCATCATTAGAAAATGGGAATATCTATCAAGGAAAGAGAGAAGATTCACAATGACAGGAGAGGTAACTGCTTGGGGGAAAGTGCCGATTTTACAGAAGAGTGTGGCAGAGCAGATTCCGCCGAGAGGCCGCGCTGCCTGACCACATGAAGGTGGAACAGAGCACGGTCCCAAGACTGGGCTGAGCCCTGAGCCAGCCGGCTGTGTATTTCCCAAGATGGAGCAGGCCCTGCACACTCTAGTTGCTCTGCATCTCAAGAGGTCTGGCTGTTATTGAGAATTTGATAAGCACTGCTGCTTACATGGCTGGGAAATACTGTGTTCTTTATGGCCCAAAATATACGCTCGGAATGCTTTCAGATGCCATTACAGGAACAGGATACTACAAGTTTTGTTTCTGAAACAACCAAAAATCACCATGAAAACCAAGGATATCTTACCCTGCAACACCCTCAAACAAAGTGTTCCATTGTCTTAAACTATCCAAATTACATGGGTCTTGCCAGGAAAAGACTTATTTTATGCACGTGAAAGAACAATAATTAAGAAAGTAGCCACCCTTTTTCCAACTGAAATTATGACTCATCTTTCACAAAAAGAGAATGAAGATTTCCAAAAATGACAAGAAGTCAGCATCGTGGGTTTACCACTGGTAAGAAGGCAAGCCCAAAGCTTGGACTGAAATGCTGCGGTGAGCACTTAAAACACTAAAGGAGAAGCTGGCAGAGAACTGCAGGGAGGAGGGCAGGGTGCCTACCTGTGGCCAGGTAGATGATGTGGACGAGTGCGTCTCTACCCTGCACCACGTCCACCACCACGTGGGAGAAGCGGCTGTTGTCCTCCAGGAAGGACGGCGCTGTGGTCACCGGCTGCACCACCTCGTGCATCAGGATGAACTTCTGAGCATCCTGCAGGTTCCTTTCCGTTAGGTTCACGTACAGGCCCTGGTCCACGGTGCCACACTGCAAGGGAAGACAAGCGCGTTATTGAAGCAGCCACTGATAACCTTGTCTTTTGTGGCACCCCCAGCTGGAGAGTAACATGGGAGGCGAATAAGCCACAGTGCGTGGCTGACTCTGTAAAAAGGTTTACTTCTTCACCTTCCCTGAAATTCCCATCCTTCACATCCTTCCCACTACGGACCTGAAATCATCCTGTCTGGGGAATGTCTCAACTCCATCACGAGAGAACCGATCAGAAGTTTTAAAATATAAAATGAAAGTCAAGGCTAATTATAATGTGAGAAGCAGGAAACTCCTTGTCACGGTCTGGGAAATATGAACTACTGTATCTCTCCACTAAATCGTGTGGTCATATTGAAAATGCAGCAGTCAGGCGCATATATAGGCTTATAGGTTTTCCCATGAGAGCAGAGGGTTTACAAGCAAACATAGATTCCATCTCAGTCACAGTCTCATCATTAATCCACAGTACCCACAATTTAAAACATTTATATTTGGCTTATGGATTAGTCCATACTCAGCTGGCTTCAAGGGAGGGCAGCACGGCACAGGGGCACAGTGTAGGAGAGCTGCTCAGATCATTGTGGCCAGGAAGCAACAAGAGGACCGAGGAGTGATACCAGGTCCCACCTGGGTGGCCTTCCTCTAAGAAGCCCTTGCCTCCTGACAGTACACTAAGCCACCGAACTCAGGAGTGGACGAGTCCAGTAAATGTGCAGCACCCTGTGATCCAATCACTTCCCAAAACCCCTGCCTATGGGGCAGGAGAGCCTGGAGGACATTCTGGGTCTAAACCGTAACAGATCCCTTGGAAAGACAGTTGCTTTAATCTGTAAACCGTATGACATGATTCATACATACTACAAAAGCATTACTATGGTCTGCTTATTTTATGCTTCTGTTCCAAGACAGAAGGAATTTTACAAATTGGTCACAGTCTTGGAATCTGAGTGATGATGTGGTAAACTGGCAAAGGAAATAGAGGAAGACAGCGAAGAGGGGAGGAAGGAGAAAAGGACAAAAGGAAAAAACGGGAGAAGAAAGGCAGAAACAATCTGCACATAGAGGAAATATGGAACGACATGTGAGACAGGCAGGGGGCACGTCAGGCTGGAAATTGCTGAGAATTAAATTCTGAACCAGGTGGGCACAAGGCTGGCAGGTGTTACCTACGATGGTTTCCAGCAAGGACAAGGAAAAAGGAGGTGTAGGAAAGAAAGCACCACTTTCCTGGAACCGAGCACAGAGTCAGAGAATTACCACCAATGTTTCTCATTTCTTTTATAAACGTTAAATCCTGATACAAACAGTGCCTGGTTCTCAGCTGAACTTCATCTAAGTAAGTTTGATAGAAATGAATTGGGGGACCCATGCCACCTGCAACTACCATTTATAACATGTCATTTCTAATACGGAGTTTTATTAGAGGTTAGAGGTGCAACAGTGTATGATGGAAATTGCTTTTTTTGAAGTAGACATTTTTGTAGCATTGGATAAAATGTCCTATAAGCCATAAACTGATAGGCCAATTTCAGGATTAGAGAATCTCAAAGCTAAATGGATTCTATTCATTTAGTCCAATGCTCAATTTAGTATCATCCTCTTGTAAGGGAACCTGTGGCAGCCAGGAGCCTATAGGGACATGCAGGGACCCTGCAAGTTCAGGCGAGGGTTCATGAGCTCCGTAGCTTCAGGTGTGTCCTGACTCCTGCCACACAGCTCAGCGGTCTTGCCTCTCAAATTCAGATTCTTCAACTGGGAAGCAGCCGGAAAAATCCAGACTCTAGGCACTTGTCAGGACTGGTGTGAGAACCACTGAGGTACGCAGCAGAAAGCATGGGTAAAGTCCTGTAATGCCCAACAGGACTGTGTGTCTGGCACTGAGAAGCCATTCAGCCAGTGGCAAATAATAAGTGCTTTCATTCTGACGCAGGATAGCGATACCACAGTCCATGGAGCTATGGTAGCCAGAGGAAAATGAGTGAGGAAATAAAGCAACAAAGGAATCAACTGGGGACACTACACAAGCAACTCTATTTGTGGGATGGGGGAAGGCTGTGCCAGAAGATTTTATATCATTACAGCACTTTATAATAATGCTCGGAACACTGCCTGTCAGCAACTGTTTTAACAAATGACCAAGAGCTCCACTGGGCTTGGTCTCCATGTGTGGGGGGCCTAGCTCTGGAGCTGTCCCTGTGTTGTAGCATCCTTTTCCCCAGACTGAGGGGATGGCTCAGACGCAGGTGGCAGCTAGCTGTCTTCATGCTGGGTAAAGTTGACCCGCAGACATTGTTTTGTATGCATCATGTTTTTAAAAAGCTATCAGCTAAAACCCAGGAGCCACTATCTAAAGACCAAAACCTCTCACTGTCCTTAGGAACCAGAAACTTGGGAGGCCCGGGGGAAATCAGAGACTGGGGCCTCCGGGCAGGACCACTTTCATGCCTGGCAGGCTATATTCCTGGACCATGTCATGTTTAAGTTAGCAGACTGCATTGTCAAGAATTGTGTCTGAGGAGTTCTCTATGACTTCCTGGTTTCTTTTGCCAGCCTATAACAAACCTCCCACCCAAGGATCCTGCCTGCCATACTTTGAAAGCTGCTATTTGTATGGATAGAATCTATTTCTGGGAACGTAGGCCATTCACCAAGCTCTTGGAAGGCTGTCAGTGCTCTCACTCTGCCTTTCACACTAGCCTCCCTGCTGTCTGTGTGGGGCATGGTGGGTCACCCTGGGACCTACGCAAGAAGAAAACAATAAAAACAGAAAAGCACAACTCTTGCCCTCTTGTGGCGTATAGCCCACCCCGGCTGTCATGTCAACATAACCACAAGTAAGGAGGTCAGTAATTCTATACATTTTTAAATGCAATAAATATTTATTTAAAAGATAAAAAAACATCCAGCCATGTTCTAGCACACCAGCACTTGGTGGCCAAGCCCACAATCTCCTCACCTGGTCTTAACAGTGCAAAATCTCCAGGTACCTCGGTCTGCAGGCCGCTTGGCCCTTTCGAATCTGGCTGCTGAGAGAGCTGTGTATCCCAGCACCCTAAGGGTGCAGCCAGGCTCTGCCTGAGCTCATTGAATCTGCCACTCTCAGGCGTCAGTCTCTCATTGCAGATCCATGGTGACCTCACTGCAGAGAAGATGCTAAGCCTGTCACCCCACGGGTGTGCCACAGTGTCTGCACGGGGCTTTGCTGCAGTGGCTGATGATTTTCCTAAGCGGCTCAGGGTTTGGAGCTGTCCCTGTTTTGTAGAACCACCACCTGTCTGCAGGCAGACACCACTGAGGGTGGCTTCTGGACACCAGACAGACACCACTGAGGCACACACCACTGAGGGTGGCTTCTGGACTGCAACCGAAGTAACTCGTAGCTCTTGTTGTTTGTTAGTGTTTTCAGATGAACCTTCTCAGCTAAATTTTTAAATATTATTTACTTTCTGTACTAGCCCTTCTGCTTTCTGAGCCTTCTTGCTAAAGAATGAGCCGTCTTTACTACGTGAACACTGTGTAAAATTTCAAATGTCAGCAGGAAGAACGAGAACAAAAACATCTAACATTTCTCACTGCTGGTTATTGCAAACAGCAGCACTTTCACACCTGCCTGGTGGAGGATCCTCAGTGCATAGTGAATTCCTGCTCTATGCGAGCCTCAAAAGTTTATGAATGTCAATCAGGCGCAACAAGCAAATATGGCCAATAAAAAGAAAACACATTTGAACTAGGAGTTATGCAAAGTATCACCATAATCTGTAACTTTAGTTCACTGCAAATATGGGTCTCTGCCCAACCAAAGAAGACAAGATTAGCTAAGCGGAGTTCTTGCCTGAAATGCACACGCTCTTGGGGATGTTTCACTCATGCAACATGCACCTAGTCTCAGCTGAGAAATGTGAGCAAGCTCTTCAGTGTGACACTGGCATTATAAAACTAGAGGCCGGTGGCCTTAAGACATGAAAGGATTTGCTGTGTGCTACAAATGTATCCAGATGGATGGACAAAAAGTTAGCAAGTGCCTGGAGGTGGTAAAGAATTACCAAGTCTATTAAATCCCTCTTTCATGGTAAAGACTTTGTAATAGAAACACTATATAATGAAAGTACACTATCAACATAATAAACATCTTTGTTAGGTTTTTGACCTTCAGAATTTTTAAAAGGACTTCCTTAAAAGTAATGATCTATTTTATGATCTATTTTCTCCTCCATATACATTTAATACCCAGCATGTATGTATACAAGTAAACAGCAGGGGAAGACAACCAGCAGATGGTCCCTCTGAGTCACCTTTATCAAATAGTATGCAGTAAATAACACACATTGATGATAGGACCTAAATTTATCCCTAAAATATTCCTATGCTTCTGTATTTCTCCTTCCACATTTTCTTGATGAGAATATGAGGAGATGATAGATAATGTGTCCACGGAAAGCAGTGAAAGATAAAGATGACATGTAAATTAGTCATCCTCTTCTCAATCCCATCTGCTTGCAAAATTTAATAAGAACGAACAAAAAACTGCAAACAATTATAATCAAATGGTGCTTTCCAAAATCCAAGTGAAGTGTCAAGTGATTGAACGTTTTTATCCTCCCAATTTTCTCAAAAGCCACAGGTTTTAGATTTTGGAAGGCAGAGTGACCAGGACTGGAAGGACCCAGTCCCAACCCTAAGCAGTGATAGTTACCATCAGTCTCTTCACTGGAATAGGGTGGGATGTGAGGGCAGAGGATGGGATTCCAGTTGGACCACTCATTTGCTGCGGTCCTGCCTGGATCTCTGCGCTGTGGCTCAGTGTCCTTCCCTATGTGGAGAAGTCTTTCTTATCAAGGTACTGCAGCCAGTGTGTGAGATGACTCACTCGAAACACCCAGCACAGGGCTTGGATCTTGGGAGTGCTACACTCCATGCCCCAAATGATGACTGTCCTAGTTGCTGCAGTGCAAGGGGAGCCTGTGCTTGTGGACTACATATTAGTTCCCCACCCAAAATCATAATTCCCTCAGCTTGACTATATTTGGAGATAGACTCTCCAAGGAAGTAACTAATGCTCAATGAGATTGCAAGGCTGGTGCTGTGACTCAGTGGACCTGGTGACCATCCCCAGAAGCACATGATAAGATGGCCATCTGAGAGCCAGGAAGACCACCCTCACCAGAAAATAACCCTGCCTTCAGCTTGACCTTAAGCTTCCAGGATCCAGTACTGTGAGAAAATAAATGACTCTTCTTTTAAAAACCATCCCATCTTGCTAATTTGTTATAGCAGCCCAAGCAGACTCATACATCTGCTGACTGACCAAAGGTAAGAAATCACTTCGTCTCTTTGAGTCTCAGCTTGTTGTGAATATTGTGAGGTGAGGTAACATGAATCCCTGGAGAGCGTGGGCATCCAGGAATTTTACAGTGGAAGAAGAATGACTTTCAGCTCTGCTGATTTTCCCCTGGATGTGACCACCACATTCAGTTCCCCCACAGGAAATCTTGCCTATTTGCCAATTAGAGCTTTAATCCTGTTTGTGCATCTCCACTACTCTGTGGCCTGGGCCCTATTCATTAAACATTCATTAGGGATCAGAGGTCCGGGGACACTGAGTCCAACATCATTAGTCCTAATTGAAGCGTGGATTCCTAATCGCCTGCAGAAGGCTGGCCTTTTTTCAGCTTGGCGTCAGACACTGCAGCTGACAAAGGTCCTTTTGTGGTCCAGGCGCCATAGTTGACAAAAAGCTCCCGTCTATTGACAGGAGCCAAGCTGAGTACAGGGCTGTCCTTGAGGGACATGGAGGGTGCAGCTGCTCTGGGCACACACCCTAGGTTCCATGCCTCAGCATTTACCCAAGTCTCTGCATTTTTCACCTCTCCCCCTGGAATTACCTGGAAGTGGGGGTTGGGGTTGGGATAAGGTAGCCAGGCTGAGCGAGAGTTCTCCTGGAACTTGAAGGGTCCATTGAAGGCCTGAGAGATGGCGCTCAGGTTGAAGACACACACAGCGGAGGCGGCGATGCTGTTCCTGGAGAGCCAAGGAAGAGAAAAGAGAAGGTCAGTCAGAAAGCCCAGCGGGGACCACCGCCAGGAGTTACCTGTGAAGCAGTGGTGACTCAGGAGCAGCTTCTAGACACCTGAAGACCACAGTCGCTCACATACCCTGAGGGGAGGGGATGAGGCGGATGGGAGCATGGGGCTCACCTGTGAACTCTTGTAGAGAAATAAACATTTAGGTACCAAAACAAGGGCAGCTGGCAATTAGGACAGTGTAATGCTGCCAGGTGGGATAGGTTCACTCAGCCTCAGGGAAATAGCAAGGGATTGCATGGAGACACATGCTCGCCTTTTAGATTCTGGAAGAAAGACTTTCTCCTCCAGCGGACGGAGCCCTTGTCTGCCTTGCCCAGCCCTCCTCACCGTTAACCTGGTTACTCAGCCGGAAGTGGGTCAAGCTTTGTGTCTTTTAAATCTCCAGATATTTATGTTCATTCATCATCCTTCAAAAAATAATCAACTTAGAGTATTTTGTAAAGAACGCCTGTCAGACCCTTCATATTTTTTTTTTAATTTAAAGAGGATTGTAAATTCAAGGGGTCAAAACACTGACAGGAAATCTTGAAGCCTTAATTTAGAATTCCAGCTTTGCAGATGAAACTGTAAATGGGAGGCTTTGGAAGGTCAGTACCCTTTAGCCAAGCAAGGGAACAGCAAAATATTTTGGGTTAAATTTGCATTTTTAACTTCAGTCCTGGTTCTAAAGGGAAAATGGAGATAAAAGAATATGTATGTATTTTCCATATTAATGCTCTAAGACAATAAACATTATGTCTCCTTATATCAATGGTTTTTATTACATCAAAGGAAACCCACAGAGACTTTGGGACTGTAATACTTGGCCATGTTTGTTTGGTAATGAATAGGTACGAGGCACTGTCCCAGGGGCTTCCGTAATTCCAGTCCTTGTAGCCTTCATAAGGAAAGAAACCCTCACAGATAAAGAAAGGATGCAGGTTCCATGAGGACAAGTCTCTGGACCCAATTTGAGGAGCAGCACTTGAACTCCATGGAGAGCCCCTAGCACCATGTGCTTTACTCTTTGTGAGAGTTGAGTGAAAAGTGGACAGTATATAAAAACTCCAGCAAAGTGCCCAGGTGGCATGGAGATGTTCCCTCCTCAGGGAGCCCTGCACCAGGGATGAGGCCAAATATGGAGGCCACGTGCTCCTGGTGCCTAGAGCTGGGCAGTAAAAAGAGTAGATGCTAAACGTTAGTGTGTTCACGTTTCCACTTTTACTCATTACCCTTAGAAAAGAAGAACATGGTAGGTCAGACTCCAGCTGCAAAGAGCAAAGAGAACAGGTGACCGGGTTTGGGAAAGGACAAGAAAACAACTATGCTGGAACAAGAATGGCCAAGCACAGGTTGGATTGCACACAGGGGCCAGCCTCCAGCCAGGTGCATGGCAAGCTGGGGAGGGCATGTCGGCGGTGACAGCACTGAGAGTCCACTGAATTGCTCATCAAGCCTCAGATCCCAAGAAGAGCCCAACTTTGCAGAAGAGCAAACAGTAGCACAGAGCTCTGACTGAGCCCACGCCATGCTGCTTTCCATGAGAGTCTTTAGTTCATTCCTTGATCTTGTCCTGCTGCTGCCTGGTGACAGAAGTCTCTATCCTCTCACTGTTAAAGCCACATTTCTGACAGCTCCATTAACCAGCTCTGAATGTGCTGATTTGGGCACTGGTGTCAGTCCAGAGCTTCCCTTGGAAGTCCTAGTGGCCACAGGCTAAGCACCCCTCACTGGAACTGGGGGAAAACTTAATTTTTTATTGGTGTGTGTTTGTGACACATAATTATGTTCACTTTGGGGAATTTAGATAGATACATAGGTAAATAGATACACAGGGGATCTCAATCATTTCTAATCCCTTCCTCTTTTCTCCTCTTCTACAGATCCCTTTCCCATCTCCAGAAAGTCCACCTCACCCTTTGCTACAATCTATCATTGGTTTTATGCTTTATTTGTGTTTTGGGTTTCTTGTATGAAAGAAACCATGCAATATTTAACCTTCTGTATCCCACTTGTTGTACTTAATAGTATAGTCTCAATACAATACATTTTCCTACAAATGCCAGCAATTCATCCTTCTTTATGCTGAATAGCCTGCCAATGTGTACATATTCCATGTTTTCTTTACCCATTCCACTGTTGATGGATACCTCAGTTGTTTCTTTCTGTTAGCCATTGGGAACTGTGCTCCTCTAGACATAGGTATGCATGGATTTCTACAGTCTGATATCTTGAAACCTCTTCCCAAGACGTGGCATCATCAGTCCCCCCACCCCTTGCATGCACTGCCCCTTTGCCTTAACTGTGCTTTGCTTTCTAGGAGGGGTGGGGGCAGAAGGGCGTGTGCGCTCTGTCTTTCCCCTCCCTTTGCCTGCACCCCACCCTACCCCAGGCTGGGCCTCCCTGCAGGAAGCACATAGCACCTGCTCTGCCAGGGCCTCCCCTGGTCCATCCACCTCACTGTGACCTTGTCCCCGAGCCTGCTCAAAGCTGAAGCAGTGTGAGCCAGCCCACGGAGCTAACAGACCTCCAGCCATGGCTCCCAACCTGGCCTCCTTCTCCAGTAGCAGAGGTGACCATATATCTTCCATTAATGTGCTGTTTCTTCATCTGTTACAGTTGGGTCCAAAGGTCTTAGGGATCTATTTGGTGAGCACAGCAGTGCAGGTCTTAAACTTTGCTTCTACTTGAAGGCCATGTAAAGCTGCCACTAGAAATGTTAAAAAAAATATTTCTTCTAGGTCTTCATCCCCTTAGTTGGAAAGAGCGATGAAAATCTTTCCCCAGCACCCCACCCACACTGCTATGTAGATATCTATGTCCACACTGATCTAAACTACACAGTCTATATCACACACTCTCTGTACTATGTAAAACTGTACTGCTGAGCCATCATTTTTAGATCCAGCTGAACCTTTAGATTCCAATGCCATAGCAAACAATTTCTTGCAACTTAACTCAGTCCCAAGTGGTGGTGCAAACCCCATGGTCTTAGTGACAGAATGAACAAAAAAGCTGCCTTTTCCCTGTTCTGGTGCTAAGAACCCCACCAAAGCATAGAAGCAAGTCCTAGTCCAAGCCACAAAGTTACAGCCTCTGTTTCAGAAAGGGGAAATTGCCAGGCTACGAACACCTCCTTCTCTTTCATCTAGAAGCCGGTCTCTTCAAGAGGGTGGTCGTAAAATCAAGGCTGAGCCACACAAGGAAGAGGGGGTGGTGAGAGAGAGATGGTCATGTCAGCTTTCCACTCCCAAGACCTAGTGACCCCAAGACTCTGCACTCAGCAGAGAAACAGTAGCAGCGACCACACTCCTCCAGCATAGAAGCTGTGTGTGGGATGGACTGCACAATCAAGCCATCTGTGACGGTCTGAAATACTTAACTGCACTCTCAAAATGACTCTTCGTCATTTCGGAAGGGTTCAGACAGGGTACTTACATAACATTTGAAATTGGAGTTTTTGTTGTTATTTTTGCCCAGAGCCAGGGGAATGAGCAGCCGCAGAAGCCAAGCTCCCATTGTGTGTAAAATTGATCTCAGCTGAGCAACCCAACATCTATCTTGGGCAGGCTGCACTATTTCTTAAAGAAGGTCTTGGAAAGCAAATCAACTTCAGAAACCATAAATTGATTTTTTTTTTTTTTAAAAAAGGAACTTCTCAAGGAAAGAATATAACCTCTGGGGTTAAGAAAAGCAGATCTATAAGAACAAGGACAGCTGCAGAGGAGGGTGATGGGTGTGGGGACATCCACGCCACCCAGTTTTCTAACAGCATCTCAGCAAGATTATGAAGTACTGCTATCAAGTGAATGCTAACGGTCACCAGAGTGGAGTGAGCAAGAGCTAACAGTTACCAAGGAAGTAAGTGCAGGTAAAGAAAGTGACTGTAGAAGTGAGATGCGTATGCAGGTGTCTGATGTCAAAGAGATAAAAAAAAAAATAAATTGGAAGTATGTATGAGCAGAGCAACATCACAGGGCAAGCTCCTGTCCAGTGAGCCCAGGCCTAAGCAGCCCAGGATACGTGGGAGTCCTCAGTGCTGAAGCTCCTGTAATTCCCAGGGACACTGCTGCACACCCTAAATACCGACACTTTCCACATACGCAGTTTTAGATCCGTTGCCTTGGACACAAATGATTGGCTTTTGTCATAATTGTTAGGTTTCCAGATTAGAGATTCCAAAGGTGAAGAACCCAAATGATCATGACCACAGCCCACATAAAAGGGCACTGGTAGCTCAGGGTCTATACTGCTGTTTCCTGGGGCATGGACAGTGTTATTGTTGACAGTGCTAGTGTCTGCCTGCAGCACACCAGCAAAGGACAGGAAGTGATGGCAGGATTATGTGTGACTCCATTGGCTAACTACATTGAGAGTGAGTGACAGCCCAGGAAACTTCTCAGGCTTCACCAAATCCAAACACTATCTCTCCGATATGATGAGTATCTTTAAGAAAGAAAAAAATGCTTTCAGGAGTATTTAAAAAGAATAATTATAATTTAAGAAATATGTGCCAAGTTAGCCATCTTCTAGATCAACTGTTTAGAGAACAGCTACAAGGAAAGAGAAAGTGCATCTTATATAACAGCATAGATAAGCAGAGGCGCAAGCAGGAATTATGTTCTCTCAACCATCAGACCATCCAGAAGTTACTGCTTTCATTATGCACAAATGCATGACTCATATACAGAAAAAAATAATCTACTATGCACTAGCACTTCAGAAAGGGCCCAGAACACACTCAAAAATTGGGAAGTAGTGATTTATAACAGAATAATTTGATATTACTATTACCTAAAAACAAAGTAGAACTTTTTGGATTAATTTTATTTTCCTAATGCCAGTTTCGCAAAGCACATATCTTTGCCTATTATTTAATTCATTGTGAAAATACTCTTTCTGTTATTTTTTGGCTGTAAGCCCAGTAAAATAAGAAAGATTTCCCTTAAAGCAACTTGAAACCTTCAGAGGTCAAAGAACAAAAGCCCATTCAAAGTGAGTGAATGAGAAGAGAAAGATGTTATTTCAAGCTACGTACACATTGGTGGTGAAGATGCCATAGATCAAGTCCAGCTCGGGCAGGAAGAAAGTGCTCTGCAGCTCGTTGTAGTAGAAGGGGACCTCCCCGGGCCGGGAGCAGTTCAGGCGCGCCTTCATGAAGGTGGTCCAGGTGTCCTCCAGCAGGAAGCGTCCCCCGATGTCGTTCTTGCAGACCCGTGCAGCCCTGGAGAACACGGTCTTCCCACAGTCATGCTCCACAGCATTTTCTCGGAAAAAGAAGTAGGTGAAGTTTCCGATGTCATATGAGGACACGAAGTTTGGTTCTGGAAAGAACAGAAGAGAAAAATCTCAGCCACCATGTGCTATTCTTTTTCTATACCACTTTGCTTAGCTTTTCTTCCAGAAAGCACGGTTTTGTTTAGACAATACCTGGCTCCTACAGGACAAATGGAGACCCGGAGTGCTGGTTATTATCAACACTGGGAGCCTCAGGTCATGCACAAGTTCTAGGAAATGGAAAATCTGCAGCAAGATTCCACACTCAAGCATCCTGAGCTATAAATGGGCACTAGAGTTAACATGACACTCACACCATCACATGTGGGCAGAACAAATTACAGCAACAGCCCTTACTTCATCTACAAACTCTTATGCCATACCCAGGAATGGAGGGAGAAGATAAGATTAAAAAGATAAAATATGATTTAGAATATAAGGAGTCTGCAGTTATGTTTGCATGTAACACTATGAAATTCTGACTTGTGTACACACATATGACTGTGATATAATTTGTATGCTTTTAGTAAGAATTTTAAAAATATTTAAAACTAAATCAAAAACTCTAACTGTAAGGTTAGTGCCTCCAAACTAGCTTTCACAATTTCTGTTCCTATGGTGATGGTGTAACTGTGAAAATCAAGTTTTATTTTCTTGCTTCTGGGTCACTAGGGGAATCCATTGAGATGAGGAAAGTGTGTTGAGATGGATCCACTGTCTGGGTGCTTTCTGGACTCATAATTACCTTAAATATAGGATTTAGAAATATGAAATTTATGGTAAAGCCTTTGTTTAATTGCCAAGCTCATTAGGAAATAGAGAATACCAACTGAATTTCTTTAATGTCCTTTTTTATTTTAAAGAAAAAAGAACAAAAACATATTAACAGACACACAGACATTTACAAAATAACACAACGACAATACAAGCAATACAGAATTTCAGACAAGATGATAGGAAATTAACAATGGTGGTTGTGTTACATATTGATATCTTCAAATTGGTTACTGAGATAAACAAATGTAGGCATGTAAGATTGATCAAACAATTAAACTAAGTGTTCCTTCCAATAAAGTAATAAAAATCAGTAGTACAACTATCTTAGCTATCTTGTGTATACATATATATATATATATTTTCCCCTTCTTTCTTTTCCCTTTTCCCTCACACCAGTTGTTCTTTCTTTTTGAACAGTTTCTTTGCCTTTCACAATATCTACTGTACCTTTAGATTTTATGCACTCTTTCAGGTTCTTACACTAGTGAGACAATATGGTGTTTACACATGCAGGTCTGATTTATTTCAGTTATGATTATGATAGCACATGTTACCTTTTTAACTTTCTGTTTGGGTTCTTTGGTATTATGAATTATACCCTACCAGACTCTTGAGCTATCCTTATCTATTTTTAAACATCCTTAATAACCAGTTTTCTTTCAAAGCATTCCGTTCAATCAGCAAGTGTCTGAGCTTTGTGCTGCAGTGAGAATAACACTGACAACAACCACTCATGTTCTAAACTAACGGAGAGACAGAGACAACAGCTACACCTGCAAGGACACATTTCAAGGACAAATGCATTCTTAGAGCACTACTGCTGTAACCTAAGCAATCTTTAAAAAGTGAGCAACTTTTTAAAAATTCCACTAAAATGGATGAGATGAACATCAGAAGGATTTACTGTTACTGTGTGTTTCAGAATCCTGCAGAGACACTCCGGACACAATGAGTGGCATATTGAAAAGTGTGTTTTAAGAACATGACACAAATATTGAGAAAATTTTGAATCCTTGTTCTCCGTGAATCTCCAAGAGAATTATCTATAAAAGCAAAGACTTGAAACATCTACAAAACACTATTCAGTGCCTAAAAAATAGTCACTTGCACGTCCATTTTTAAAGAGAAGGCTAAACCATTTTAGAAGAGACTCTGCAGCCAAGGCTCTCACATGCAAATTATAGTTTGACCGTTATACGAAAACCAAACCAAAAATCCTCCTCATCATAAACCACAGCAGCGAACTGTCTAAAATGGAGCAAATACAAAAAACACTGTTGTGTTTTTGGGTGTGTCCAGCCCAGGAAGACAGTTTCCCACACACATTCATGAGGCAGGAAGCACAGTCCCCCCAGCAATCTCGAATATGCTCACAAGTGTCTGCTTTACAAGCAATCTGGGCACAAAGAGCATGAAAGTCACATGGTAAACAGCTCTAGCACCTTCAAGAAGTCTTAAGCAAGAAAACAACCACACACACATGAGCACACATGAGTGCACACACGCACACACATGCACACACACAAACCAACCAACCAAAGATTTGCTGTGGCTTCTTCCAGTCAGGTGTATAACAAAGCAGCTAATATTTACAGATTAAGGATCCTACTGTGTCCAGCCGTATGTGGTGCTTAATATCCATGTGCTCACCAAATGCACAAAAGCTTGAGGGGTAGTGTGGTGTATTCCTCAGCTGTGTGTCTCTGGGAAAAGCACTCAGCATTTGCAAATGAAGGGAGAAGGAGTGTGTACTTGCTGATGGTTTTAGAGGTTTCAGTCCATGGTCTGCTGGCTCCAAACCAGGAACATCATGGTAGAAAGGTCGAGAGGAGCAAAGCTGCTCGCATCATGGCACCCAAGGACATGGGAAGAGATTCCTCAGCTGGAACACCACCTGTGATTCACCTACTCCAACTGGGCCTCACCCCCAAACAGCCCATTCAGGTATGAACATTAGTAGATGCACCCACTGATGTGTACAAGGCCCCCGTGATCTAAGCTCCTCTACAGAAGTCTCTTACTCCAACCTAATTGACAAAGAAAGATTAACTTGTGCAGGTAGTACTATTCTTCCCATTTCATAGATGAGGACCCTGAAGCTCACAGGGTTAATAACTTGCTCAAATTCACACGGCTACCAATCAGAGTAGAGTGAGGTAGAGAAAGTCCTAAATCCAGACAGTCAGAGCTCAGGGCCCATGAGCTTACCATCCTACTATAGTGAAAACGTAATAGTCGACAAGGGTACATCTAGTATGCTAACAATACTTACAAGTGTGATTGGATTTCTGGACAGTGCCCTTGGATGTGGAGTCATCATATTCCTTTGGGAGTGGTAAATAGCTTTACCTGGGCAGAAGCTGAGGAGAACTAGTTAGAGGGCAATATAACTGTGTGGACAAAACTTTAATCACAACTAGTGGACATATTGTTTCACAAAAATGGGAAGAAGAAGCCATGATTCAAGGACTTATTAAACAAGAAGACAGTTGGAAAATGTTTTCCCAGCCCCAGAACCGGTATTTCAAATGGCATCAGGATAGCCTCAGTGTGCCAACAAGTGACCATTATCTACTGCTCTGAAGTATGCCATGCTGATCTCCAACACAAGGGGGATACTGAGTAGCGGGACGCAATTGACCCTCAGCTACCTCTTTCCACAGAGAACCTCCACCAGCTCTTCAAACCTCTCAAAGCAATTGTATAAGGTCAACAGTGTGCATTTCAGATAGAAACGCTCAAATGTATTTTTTGTTCTCATAGGAGAAAAAATTTTTGAGTGTGTGGGATGTGTTGTTCTCTGATTCATGACACACCACAAGCCATGTGGCCAGAGATTTAAACTACATTTGGAAGCATGTCCTGCTGTCCTACACTGACCCTTCAGGGTGCAGATGGGTCCCTGACTTTGTGACCTGCTATTAAGGCAAACAGTTTCATTTCTTGGAAAGCAGATCCTGTTGAAATTCAGCCAGCGTCCTGTGCCTTTTCCAGAAACAGTAAAAATGTAGGAACAACTGTTAAACAGTCAATTATCTTTTGCATTTATAGATAGAAAGATAGAAGGGGATATCTGCATGGCACCAGGCAGAAGAGTGACACACATGTTGTTTTCCTTCCATTATTTAAATTTCTTCTAAAATGAAATTCACTTAAACTAGGATTTGCCACTCCTCAGTGAACTGAGGAAGTCAGGAATCAGTCACTGCCATCTTGTTTGTAGTGGATGAGAATGCATGACGGAGATCTGGAAGATCCTTTACACGTCACCATCATTACAGCTCCAAGTGAGTAGAGCATGTGCTGCTCCCTAGCTCACAGTGGAAACAGGCGCGAGCCTATGCCAGTTTATATATTCATACATGCAAAGGGAAGCTGCACTGTCTCATATTTGCAAATCATGTTGAGTTATAGATGACAGAGCGCTCTATAAAATATGTCAGATTAATAAGATTTGTCTTATCAGAACTTTTACTTTACATCTTACGTATGTAATAGTGCTGATGGGACTACAGGGAAGAGACGCTTATAAATAAACACAAGTGATTGAAAAAGCATTAAGAATTTTGACCATGTAAAGTGAAAAGCTGACTATATGAATGAAGCCCTCCACTCTATACTTTTCCTCTCAGTGCTTAAAGCATCAACAGGGTGATAATCACTCATAGGCTGTGGATATAAAAATATTTGTCCGACCAATAAGAATGGACACTAGAGACATGAACAAATTCCAGTTTCCCACCTCTGTAGACACCTTACTGGATTCTTACAATCTACCAAAAGTTATCATATACTCCAAACTCCACACCGTGACACAGGTGCCAAGAGCAGGCTGGGAAACAACCACGCACGGGCCATGTGTAGTCCAGCTTGTCTGGATTGGACTGGTGACCTTTGACATGCTCTGTCTTCCCCAAGACACTGGGGAACCCCGGAGGCCCCTTCCACAGGCTATAACGATGCAAAGGGCTGGACCTCCATGAGTGATGGCCATCATTGCTGTTTCACGACTTCTCCCAGTGTCTCTCTGAATACCACTCACAGAACTTCACATGACGCCATGAATGATGAAACTCACACATAACCACTGACAAGGGATCAGAAGTGAGAAGCATAAATACAGCTGTGCTGAGTTTTCAAAACAACAAGGCTTTCACCAAAAGAAAGAAAACGAGTTCATATAACCAATCTTTACATATGTCACAGAGCAAGGGAGAGGTTTCCTGTTCCTTCACTTGGTGGTGTCCATCCCTTCAAATCCACTTCCCCT